GTGGTCGTCGCGCAGCGCGTGTTCGAATTTCATGTTGTGTACGTCGCTATGAGTCTCATATCGAACAGGACGCGGCGCGACGACTGCCGCCCTTTAAGTATTTTGTTTCGGTGTTTAGAAGGTATCGAAGGAGTCGCCGGTGGTAATTAGTGAAAGTGGTGCACAGGGCAAAACTTGTACTCGTGATTTCATTAGAAAAGCGCATTGGATTGTGGGAAAATCAATGTTTATCAACACAAATGTCGGACATGCACGGCGCGACGACTGCCGCCCTTTAACGAAGAGCTACTCTACAAAACACCTTTCTATCAAGTCACGACATCCAACGACGAAGCGATTCCATGTAGTAGATCGTGACGAAATAGGAGTTCACGTGATATTTTTTTGACCAGTGTGATCTTCAGTCAATGAAAAATTAATATTTCGAATGATTTAGTATCGTACAAATGACGGGCGACTTCACAGCTAAACACAGTCACCGTGTAAGAGAGCCAAACCACATCAATAATGACAATAATGGGGTCGAGTCCAGTTGAGTAATTATTCTAAATGCGTCAGTTTTAAAACATGTTTATTTATCACTACCCCCACACACATACACACACACACACATCATGTACGTACTTGTACTGCCATGTTCACACACAGCTCTCCAGACTATATGATTGTAAGCCAGAACAGCCAACCCGTTTCAATGTTGAAAATTTAAAGACATAATAACCAATATATTTCAGACGAACTGGTCGGTGGTTGAGACGAGCTGTTTTACAAGTAGCAATTGTCCGTCCTCTTGTGCTGTTTGCTGCTGTTGTGCTGTGGGTTGATGGGAAATTTACACCAGGAGCGGTAGGTTCAGTCGCTTCTTTATACATGTTGTACTTTAAAAGTGATTGGCAATGCTCACAATACGTATTTAGTAATTTCAACCTGATTTGTTTTGTTTTTTCGTTTCCCAAGGTTGGCGTAGGCGAACCGTATTTATGGATATCCATCGTCTCCGTTACATCGACACTTATGGCCATCCAAGCTATCAGCATTTTACACGGTATATCGAAGGAACCGTTAAAAGACTATAAAATCACGTTCAAGTTCTTATCCATTCAGTTAACCCTTATATTTGGCAATGTTCAACTGGGCCTGCTGACTACTCTATCCAATGCTGGTGTAATAACGTGCACTGATCTGTTACACAACCGTGCACGCGTGTACTGTAAGTATATTATCTTGAGTTGTCGAATATCCCACTTTCCTATAAGTAGCGCCCCAAGCGGCGAACCGCTTCCGTGACGTCATGACGTAGATGGGTGAAAGCAATGTCGTAACTTGAATTGATAACAGTAGCTGTTTTGTCGTTTGTCATTTTTAATTTGGTCAATATCTCAAAATATTAATTTCTTTGATGACCATATACTTGTAACAACATAATATATGGACGATGTGAACAACCTTTATCGCACCCTTTTCGCCAAAGAAGCGCTTTTTGCCGAAGAAATGTATTTATATCAGTATTATAAATTTAAATCTACAGTAATTTTATCTTGGTGTATTATAAACAAATGCAATGTCCAACTTGAATGAAAAAAAGTTATTTTTATTAAACGTGTATTTACATCTTTTTTCTTCTAGACATTTACAACTTTCTTATCATCTGTGAGTTCTTCCTCATCAACATCTTCTCGCGACTTCTTTTCCGCACACGTAGTCATGGAAACTTGGAGCAGGTGATGTCGCCAGATGAGGCCGTCGAAGCGGGCAAAAGTTACATCACATCCTACAAAACTCCTCCCAACAGTCCATATTTGGTTAAATTCAGCAGTAAGAACGAAGAAGCAAACGGTGTGTGTAATTGTCATACAAACGGTGGTATGACAAATGTTACCATGGAGCAAATTCAGAAATCCGAAACTCAGAAGTAGACTGCTGGTACTTGGATATGAACGATCGTTATCGCAAAACGTAACATTATTGCTTGAAATGCGCCCTCTGGCGTTGATTACAGACTCAATTGTCTTTTTTAACAACCGTGTTTATAATAAGAAAAGTTGAATCAATATAACACATGACAGGACTCAAAAGCCGAGGAGGGAAGGAGAGAAGAAACCCTGTCAATTTTGTGACGCGGAAACCATGACAACATTATTGGTTTTAGATCAGGCTAAATAATAGGCTAAATAATTCACGATCGTACGAACACTCACTCAGGCGTTTGGTTTGGAGACAGAAAAAAATCAAACCACTGTAACATGAGTGCAGAACAAAGTGTATTATATATTTATAAATACATTAATCAGAACTGTAAGACAAATCCAGCTGTATTTAAACGCAATCCAAACACACGTTTAGTTTTATTAGAAAGTGGTATCAGTGTATACTCCCTATCGTATATTTGCATACTACATGTATAATATTAGTCGTAACCACAGTCAGCTGGCGCACGCGTGATAATAAAATAAATGAAACGCGTTTTCCAGATTCCTACAAATCAGGACAAAAATGACAATCTTTCCCAGAAATACGATCCGTTGGGTGTAATATTAAGCCAACTGATGAGCTGGAATGACAATTTTTCATATATATATAAATATGCACAGTTGTATCTGTTTGTTCTGTTGTATTCTATACATTGTATCCGTGTAACTACGTTTTGTTTATGACTAGTCGTATTCAGTGAAATCGCATTCTGAAATAAAGCACGACCACAGTCGTACGACCTTATTTACTTATTTATTTTCTACATATTTATTCTGTATCTATTCATTGTTATTATCTGGCTGTGTTTCAATTGACCTAGATGTCATTGCGACGGTATACAAAATGTACTAGTTAGTTGGTTCCTCTGATAGAGGGACTGTGGTTGGTTTAAGCATGGAAGGTACTTACAAGATGTTTGAAGGTACATGGTTTTATTGTCAACACGGTATCAGTAACCATGCTGTCAAATTCGACAATAATAGACGACTAACAACCCCCCCCCCCCTCACGCGACAAATATCCCTTCTGCACGTGGATGTGTCTTTGATGCACAATTTTAAACTGATTGTTTGGTTTGCTGAAAACTACCAGAGTCTCATTGGCTGGTGGGTTTGACACGTGGTCAAAATATGTTTCGATGCTTAGTGATCGTGTATTGTCATCTCAATTGTTCCAAGGTCAATGGTCAGACCTACTGGTATAAAACACATTTTTAGATAGCCCGATTTTGAGCTGATGCTGCATAATGGAGTTTGCTATGTATATGTGCATTGCATCTGATAATGTTTATTTAAATTACCATGCTTCCATGCAGTGGTTCATTTTGTTTCTATTGTTCAGCATTATAATACAACGAACAAACAAACAAATCATTTACTACTAGACCTTCGATCAGTGCACAACCCCCACCCACCCCCAAAATGCTCATCAACTGACTTTCAACAATCACAGAGGGACTGTGCTACAATAGAACACGATATGAGCGTACGTGAAAGTCGATTTGTTTATATTCTTTGTCTCTCTGTCTGTCTTCGGGCATGGGGCTCAAACATGAACATTTTTTTTAGTTTAATAGTGACAAAAAATACAATACATTTTTCGAATACACCCGAACTATAACATTTTGTATTGAAATACGGAATTGTGAATAAAGGTATGTACTTCCCATTATATGTGTGTAATGCTCGTTGGAAAGCGATTTTAAAGTGGTTAGGTCACTCGTCATTTTGAAGTTTGTGCAGAGTTAACTAAAGACTACTGTAAAACACATTGAAATAGCTACATGCTATTTTAGCGAATTTAACTCAATGCATGAATATACGAAATCTTAATTTAGCTAAAATGCCAACAATCTCATTGTGAGAATATACTTCATTCTAAATCAGCGACATCTTGAATTAGCGAAATTACAGGTTAGCTAAATTAGCTAAAATGACATGCTAACTAAATAGACGTGTTTTACCGTATGATCATTGAACTAGAAAAATCTAAATGCTATGATGCTCTACATCATTTTATCGTTTACTAGTTTCTACTATACTATTATAAACACTGTAATGCGAATATTGTTAATGTAGTATACTGTAAAATACTTTATTTTTGCTTGTAATTAATTTTCGCTATTTTCTCTGAAGGAATGATTCAGTGAACATAAAATCCAGCGAATATATCTTTTTGTCTATGTTTTACATTCAACTCGTCAAAAATAAGTGAAATTAAACTCCATGTAATACACTCAAAATGTCTTTTTAGTGAAAATTAATTCCAGCCATGGAGCTCCATGTTCCAGCTAAAATAAATTATTTCACAGTATTGTTGAGCATATTTCCCTAATACTGCATGTGTACACGACGGTGTTCGTTGGGTGGGGTTGTTGCATGGAGGTCCAAGCGTGTAGCTAAATGATTCGGCAGTGAATGACTTGTTTGTTTGTTCATGTTATTATAATGCTGGAGCTTTTAAGCTGATTGATGTGTATGGTAATCCCCTCAGATTAGATGGACCCCCCCCTCCGATGGTTGTAGATAAGCTTCTAGCATGGAGGTAAAAATAGTTTTCTAGCGAGAATTGTGTAGTTACTTTTATGATTTCCAAGCGAGGTAAATATACATAGTCGTATTTGTGAGCATATGGGCCATGTAACTATGTTGAAATTGTGGTGCAAAACGTCTGCCACCTTATTAAATAATTAAAACTTCAACTGAAGGTCAACTTGGCTGTTACTCTGGATTATTCAAATTTCGGTTTTGTGTTTCTTAATTATCATTGTTTATAATTCCCAAAAATAAACAATTTCAACATCTTTGTTGACTTTAGACTTTACTAACAATGCTAGGCGATAGTTGCCTACAGCACTTCAAGTGTCTTTAATTAAAACTGCATGGGTCCAGGTGTATTATTCACACTTTGTTTCTAAAAGGTCATTATCGGGACCAATCAGCAGACGTGTTCTTCGCGTAAGCATGGGCTGTCTATAAAGCTTGCAGTTTTGGTAGGAAGTGCATTGAACGTCTTGCTGCCGGTTCTGTATGGTCACAAGGTATATGGTATTGACACGGAGCCCAATTAACTCAAGGTAAACCGTTATATTGGTTATTCAATTAGGGATCCAAACTTTGTCAATCAACAGTATTCCCATAACTGGATGAGTAGACACATATTTTTTTTTATTTTTGACTGCAATTATATCTTTGTTTAAATCGCCTGTTCACTGCTTATCCATGACAGTGTCAAGGTATTTCTTATTGACGATGCCCCTTTGTTATGGACATCCATTAGATTATCATGGTCCAGATGGTGTATTTTTGAGTCTGTAACTCCGCTCATGGTGGTATGCTTAACCCATAGAAGGTACTAACATGCTCCACCTAAGTGAACCGGTATATGTAACCTTGACTATGATCTCTCGAGCTGCTTGTCAGTCATGGAGGTAAAAATTACCTCCATGCTTATACTGTCGACAGTCCCCATGGCTTAACGTTTTGTTTGTTTTTAACTAAAATGATTGAATCATATTTCTTATAATACATTATCATTTTATTTAGGAAAAAATATTAGGCCAGAAGGACTGTTATTTACTATAAAGACAGTTACTTACTATAATATCATGTAACAATTTTGTAATTGGTTAAAGGTCAAAGAAAGAGTGTAGTAGTGATTGGTTACAGCATGGAACTATAAGGGGTTTATAGTTCCATGGTTACAGGGAGAGTCAGAGTTGTATCTATGATTGTAACTAAAGTGGTAATAGCAGGAATCATGGACACTGTTAATATGTCCATGGCAGAAGCTAGTTTATTGTCACTGTAGTGACACTGTTTATTGGGTTGTAACTCCATGGCTGTTCTGATCAATGGTCAACCATAAAAAACACACATTTTAACTGAAATATTTACCTTGTGTATTGCATTACAATGAGAAACGTGTGCTAAGTACAGGTATATCCCGCAAGGTCAATGTCAAATACAAATGTATGTACAAATGTGAAATTGAAGTGGACACAAACAAGTACGGTCAACTTTTACCCACAATAGTGTTTACTCTGTGACGACACCCTGCTAGTAGCGAGAGTCACGCCTGGCCAGAATTGTCAAATTTATGGTTTTCGACGCGGAGCCCCGCATACTTCAAGGTAAACCGTTATGGTGTTTATTCAATTTTATAGCCTGATCGTTATATTGTCAATCAAATGTGTCCCGAGAACTGGGTGAGTACACGCACATACTTTCTATGGAAGTATGGTCACATGCAAAGAAGCCTGGACACTGTTGATTAACGGTACCGCTTTTAGGTAGTGACTGTCACGGTATTAATAAATGTGTTGTGATTGGTAAAATTGAGGAATCTGTTGTGACTGGTTACAGAGAGAGCTTAGTTGTGATTGGTTACAGAGAGGGATTAGTTGTGATTGGTTACAGAGAGGGCTTAGTTGTGATTAGTTACAGAGAGAGCTTAGTTGTGATTGGTTACAGAGAGGGCTTAGTTGTGATTAGTTACAGAGAGAGCTTAGTTGTGATTAGTTACAGAGAGAGCTTAGTTGTGATTGGTTACAGAGAGAGCTTGGTTGAGATTGGTTACAGAGAGAGCTTAGTTGTGATTGGTTACAGAGAGAGCTTAGTTGTGATTGGTTACAGAGAGAGCTTGGTTGTGATTGGTTACAGAGAGAGCTTAGTTGTGATTGGTTACAGAGAGAGCTTAGTTGTGATTGGTTACAGAGAGAGCTTGGTTGTGATTGGTTACAGAGAGAGCTTAGTTGTGATTGGTTACAGAGAGAGCTTAGTTGCGATTGATTAAAACATAACTGTGTATTTGTTAAAATTCCTGTGTGTGTTTTATAAATCCGAAAGAAGGCTTTAAAAAGTCACTGTGATTATATCTAGTATGGGTTATTTTTAGTGTTTGAGTGATATCTCTGATTGGGGAATTCGAAGAGAACTGTCAATCTCGCGTACCTGGATAACGGTGTAATACACGCAAAAATAAATCTCGATATGGTATGGATGAAATTTTCTAACGACGATATCTGCACCATTAACATAAACTATAATTGATCAAATTCACATAGTATGTATATTTGAAACTTCAGAGACAGAAAACGTGAAAGAATGTAACTGTTAAACAGTAAGAATTTTCTCTACCACATCGTTATAAATACGTCGGCTAATATATTATATTATTTATAATGGTGATTTTAATCTTTGCTATAAAAACCGAAGTGCTGTCACATTCGTTACATTCTCTCGGCGCGGATAAAAAGTTTGGATTGTGACAAAACGCTCAGTTCCTGACCATTCACGGTACGTAAGTCTGTCTACTTGTATTTACTGCAGTCTGCTACACGTCCTACAATGTGCTCTTGCTCCTGTTGTATTTACTCAAGTAGCTGATTTTTTAAAACTAACGGTGTAAATGTTATGTAAAAAGGGATTTGGGATCTTGGATTTGTTTATAAGTAAAATGGCTCGACCAGTACGTGACCAGGATGACAGGTATTAATGTAAAAGCGAGAGTTCAGAGATTTAATTGGCTGTAGATGTGTGAATTAATGTCGCATCAGATACCTGTATTATACTTGAAAGGCTGAATGCAAAGTGTCGATAAAAACGCTGCATATTTTCGTATCTAATGCGCGCGATCATTTGGCAAAGCTCTATCGGGCGAAAATCACTAAACCGCGTGTGATCAAAAGTGTAACCGAGTCATTTTGTAAACTTTTTTTTTTTATCCTTCAGTGTTCACAAACTAGTAATTTTGAAATAAGGAAGTCAACACCGTGTCTTAGCCAATTGAGGATATGGCTAACATTCATCGAGGTGTTTACATTGTATAGGGACATATAGGCGACTCGTAGCGGTGTACATTGACCAGCTTTGACGTGTTAGGTTCTATCTTTCAACATGAAAAGACCCTGACAATACACTAGCCAATACGTGTATGAGTTACGTCTTCTGTTTTGAGCCACGTCCGCGTCCATGTACGTAAGAACACCATGACATTAAAGGAGTCAGGTTCTGGGGTTAAGTAAAGTGTTATAGTTGAACTACTGTAAAATGACTAATTTTCACTGGGTTTAAATTTCACTGATTTACCATTTCAGGCATATTCAGTGGGTTTTAAATTCACGGTTTTATCATTTAGATAATGTGTTTTATGCTAAATTTTACATATTCACTGGGTTTTAATTTAGCGCATTTTCCAGTCAGCGAAATAATCCAAATTAAAACCCAGTGAATAATTAACCATTTTACAGTATGTATTTACCTTATGCACATTGTACTACATTTTTGGACATCACTCGCAATTCCTCCGGGGATATTGCTTTTTACTGTCCGTTATTAGCAGTTATTGTCGACAGTCATGAGACAGGCCGACACGAATAATGTTCGGTTCATGTTCGAGTCGCCCGACGGGTGAAAAGTTTGACTTCTAACAACGTAGAACGATGTGTGGGACGCTAAAATAAGGCTCCCGCATACATACCGTGAACAACCGTGTCTCCTGTTAGGCCCTTTGCTGCAGATCAACCAGAGGGGCGGGGTGTGGTCATAATAAGTGCGACAAACAAAATACAACGTAGTTGAACTAGTGAACGCATCTCTGATATCATGAATTGTAATTAAGGACAATATTTATTAGTTTGTCAGCTTTGGACCCTGATAAACTGTCATACGCTGTAACAAATGATAACAACTGCAAATGTTAAATTTCTTTTTAATGCGATAATAATGCTGTTACGTGCCACCTCATACAATGGTTGCTTAGGTGTGATATTACATTACCATATTGTTGCCATGGGAACTGTGTGATTACTCCGACACCGCGAAAGACCGCGAAGCTCACGTGGCGAACACTGTGTTACGACAAAGATCAAATTATTGAATTTCAGTTTAGAGATCGCGCCATTTTGGCGATAATATCGATGTGAGGAACTGGACTGCTCCACTATTTACTATAAATCAATAGATTGCATTGACTTTTACAACTTTTTATGCCATTTTTAATTACACCACAATCGTGGTACGAACACTTCCAGCTTATTTCGCACAATAAATGGATACTAGTAAATAGAAAATATACGTTTGTGCATATATTCTCCACAAATTATTAGGAAATCCAGATGAGTAATATTATGCTTTATGAAAAAAATTACTTTATATTGGTTTTATTCCCAGTTGCTACAACATTTTCATTTTTGTTTGTCCCCAGATAAAAAAAAATCGGCGAATTTGACTGAATCTATAATTGATAATAGACGAACAAACCGCCCTGTCGCGTATTTAGGTAAATCGCCGTCATTTTTCTATATTACAGTGACGGGTGAGGTGGAGGTTGCTTCTTGATTGTGGCATCAACAATATCAATTGTACCGCTGTCACTTATGGTTGTTGAATTGCATTTGGTGGTTGCTGATTTGTATACGTTCAACCAGTATGCACAGAGAAAAGAATAGTGAATTGTATGCTAGGGCGACTTTACGTATGTTGTCCATGAATTATCGGGAAATTCAGATGAATAATATTAATTGCTCTATTTTTATGAAAAAAAACACACTTTATATTTGTTTTTTGTTGCCAGTTGCTGCAAAATTGCCTTTTTAAGTTTTACAAACAACCGTGTTCCTTATTTAGGTAAATCGTCAACCTTTTCTATAATGCAGGTACGGTGTAGGGTGGAGGTTGTGGCATCAACAATAAGTATTGTACTGCTGTCCCTTGTGGTTGTTGAATTGTTTTGTTGCTGCTGTATACGTTGCTGTTTTGTATACTAGTACGTTCAACCAGTATGCACAGAGATAACAATGATAAATTGGCGATTTTACTTATCGTTAATCCAGCAATTAATTTCTCGTCAAATACCCCAACGTACTGTGCTGAGAAAAAAATATCTATTTTAGCGGATATTGTGAAATTCACCGGTTCACTGATTCTTGAAGGAAATAATACCGGTACATATACTATTGAAGTATTGTTAAAGTTGAATATATTTAATCTCGTTAGCGCATTCTTTTGTCAGTGTCAAACTATGACGAACATTTCGTCACGTATTCCTGTGAGTACATCTTACAGACACGAAAAGGGCTTACTGTATCGCTGTCTCAAGATGGCTAATGTCGTAGGAACCAGTAACGTTCAACTGGCTATTGCCATTACCAATACCAAATAGTCTGTTATGTATGTGCGTATATAACTCAGGAATATATCCGTATCTTTTACAGTTTTCATCAAGCATTTTGCCTGAGTATTGGTAAAGAACAGCCACTATGTCCAACAACACAAGCAGCTGCCCAGACAACGAAATTCCGGACGTCTATCAAGTCATACATGGTAAGTAACACGCCATCCATACTATCTTTGTTAACTTTACTAGTTTTTTGATGTGGTCTGTTGTGATTTATTCACTGTTTTGAGTTTAATTATTCCCTAGATACAGACGTTGTTTTATAGGGGTGAATTTTCTCTTCTTTGTTGAGGTTCGGGTCTTCTCGGGGCATTGCGCATGCGTTCTATACGCGTTAAACCAATTGTATTTCTTTTACTATAATTCAGGATCCCTAACGTTCCACAAAATACTACTTGTGGTTGCCTCTGTATTGACAGTGATAACAACAATCCTGTTTGCTGAATCGGTATATTATGTAAGAAACAAGATACCGGCTAAATTGAGACGGAATAAAATGATATGGGTATTGGGGTTATACCCGGTAAGTACACAACGTACAAACTAAAATGACAATAGAGGGGTTTATGAAATCTCACCTGGGGCTGAAGAACAAAACGGAGACGACCCCATACCACGAGTGAGCCCACTATTCACGCAGGGATGAGGCCAAAGCCGTTGCCGAGATTCATTCACGATCGGATGCGATTCCACGGGTGATTTTGTTCGACCGGGCATGGTTGACGACGGAATGAAGCATTAAATTTCCTGAATGCCATTTTATAGAAAAAATGGATACATATTTCTGTCATGTAGTCCCACACGTAGAATGTAATTTATGTGACAAAACACACTGCAATGTATCACTAATTCTTAGTAAATTTAGTGTCGGATACTGGTACGATAAGTTCGATTATTTAAAAAGATTTTTTTTTTCTAAAACCGGAAGTAATTTTTTCAATTTATTTTCATATATAGGTATTCAGTATCACAAGTTGTATTTCTCTATTCATACCACGTGCTGCAATGATGACAAACTTTACAGCATCTATGTAAGTAAAACACGTGTAATGCATTTATTGCAATCACGCACTTATCTATCTCTTTCTACAAAATGAACCGAAACCATGATAATATTAGAGAGACAATAGTTAAAATGGAGCCAACAAGTTTTTGAAATG